AATACTGGGGTTTGAACTTAGGGTCTCAAGCATGTGCTCTATCACTTGAGCCACTCCTCCAGCCCCGTAAGACTCCATTATGTCTTTGTGTGATATTTTAAGGCAAAATGAGTTTTATTCCAGTTTTTGAAATAAGTATGTTTTTTCTCAGCTCTTCTGTAAGACCTCTAGAAAAAGTAAGTCAAGTTGTAGCACTTATTACAGGGCTTGGAAAAGAAGCTTGAGTGAAAATCAAGTCCACTAGATAGTGACAGTGTAAGAGGTAAGGGCTCTAATTTAAGTTTTTATTCTGCTTATATGCATCTTTGTGTCAAGTAAAGACAAGGACTCAAGACCAGGAAGGACTGCATTTGTTTATTCTTACACAAGTAAAATCAGTATCAAAAAACCTTTAGGCTAGGAATGGTGGTTCATTCCTGTAATCCCAGCTACTCAGGAGTTAAGAGATTGGGAGGATTGTCGGTACCAGCCAGCCTGGGCCAAAAAATAAGTTCGCAAGAGCCCATCTCAACCAATACCCTGGACGTGGTACCACATGTACCAATCATCCCAGCCACGTGGGAGGTGTAAATAGGAGAATCATGGTCCAGTCTACCCAGGCCAAAACTGTTAGACTGTATTTGAAAACTAACTAAAAAAAAAAGCAAAAAAGGCTGGGGGTATGGCTCATGTGGTAAGAGCACCTGCCTAACAAGGCCCTGAGTTCAAACCCCAGTACCACCATAAAAACAAACAAGCCAGGTGCCAGTGGCTCACAACTAATCCTAGCTACTCAGGAAACAGAGATTAGGTTGAAGCCATCCCTGGAAAATAGTTAACGAGACCCTATCTCGAAAACACCTAACACCAAAAAAAGGGTTGGTGGATTACTGACTCATGTCTGTAATCCTAGCTACATGGGAGGCAGAGATCAGATTGCAGTTCGAAGTCAGTTGAGGCAAATAGTTTGCAAGAGACATTACCTTGAAAATACCCAGCACAAAAAAAGGGCAGTTGGCAAATGTAAGGCCCTAAGTTCAAACCCCAATACCACCAAAAAAAAAAAAAAAAAAAAACCACCACTTCAAATGGTACAAGAAAAGTCTTCCCACTACTTCCACCAGAAGCAACTACTAAAAATGTGATACAAACTTCTTCAGAACACAAACTATGCACATCCAATCACCTGCACATACATACTGTTGGCTCTTGTTTATGTGAACAAAAGTGGGTCACAGAATAGTAATACAGTAGTGGCCCGGCATCTTCCCTTACACGCACTGTGTGTACACCCAGAACACTACAGCACCACCGAGGCTAAACAGGTCCACTCATTTAACCACTCCCTTCATAATGGACCCTGGAGCTAGCTCTGGGATTCTTCATTACGACTACTAAATCTGTGACCATCTTGCTCCTCACAACAGCTCAGACAGTAAATAAAAGTCATCCTTTATTAAACCTTAGATTTAAAATATCACAACCCCCACTCAATCCCCAACTTGGGACCTTTGTGCCTGCTACTCCCTCTCTGGAAACATGTGGTCCTGCCCTTCCTGCTCTCAGCTGAGGTGACTCTTCTGGGAGGCTTTCTGGGAACACACCCCCATTGCTCTAGCTGCAGAAAGTTCTTCCTCCATGCGCTCACTGTAGCTTCTGAGGATGCAGGGGCATGTGTCCAATCCCTTGCCTAAGCCCCACTGGGGAGGTCAGTGTGGCTGTTTCAGCCACATGATGCCTGTCTTGGAGGGGCCAGGCACCCCTGCCTCACAGTATCTCTTCTAAAGAACATGAATTGACCTCACACTCAAGTGCTCAGCAGGGTCACCAGCATAACCAGCATGACCTTTAGCACAACAGTTTCCAATGCCGGCAGGCGGAGGAACAGCTGCTCATGCCCCCAGTGGCTGGGGTCTGAAATGGTACCATCTTTCTGGTGGCAACCTGGCTGAACAACTCCATCTCTGGGGTCATGGTTCACAGCAACAATCATGTATACATACAAAGATTTCATGACAACATTCTTTACTATCCATCTGTTAACAGGCAAAACTGCAGACAGCCTAGGCAATCAAGCCCTGTTGAAAAATGAACTGAGATGTTCATACAACAGAACACCTTTTGAATCCTTCAAGAAATTCTAACTAGGTGGCATGATAATGTAGTCAAGAAAAACACTTCAGAGAAAAACGTGCATAGTATAGAATCATCCCATTATTATGAAATGGATGGGTATATGCATTTACCCAGATAGGTTCTATCATGCACCAAAATGTTTATAGTGGTAAATTTATAAATCATTTAGTTTTCCATTTTTTGAGTTGAAAAATTTTTATAGTTCACCTGCATTGCTTTTTAGGGGGGAAAAAAGGTTATCTTTTAAAACTGTCTGTCTACTCCCAACTATTCACCCACCAGAAGTCCTGGCAAAACGAGGGGCTACACATTAGGTGATTCATGCTTCCAAGAAGTCCCATGCTTTTAACGACTACTCGTTTCTGAAGCACACACAGGCTATGGACAGTTTTTAGCCACTTCTGAAAGGCACTGTTTCTACTTCAAACCATACAGAACTAGAAAGGGACAAAGCAGAGGGAAGCGTAGGGCACCAGCAAATTTAGGCCTTCCTTCTAGCACAGGTCCTTAACAGACGTGACCAGAAAACAGTGTGTCTGCCACAGCCACTGGCCTCCAGCCGCTGCATTAGCTTTTTCTTTCACAGCACATGGCAACCTGTGATGAGTCCCCAGAAGGACTCCCAAGGGGAGCTATGAAGCACTGATAGTACTTAGGAGCCACAGTTCCCAGCACCCTGAGAGCACAGGAACGACAAAAGCAAAAAAGCAAGACCACTAGCCTTGATGCATCAGAATTGTGTGTGTTGGGTTTAGGCATTTTGTGATTTCTGATGCAGACAACCCACACACCAGTGTTCAGCGATCATCTATCAACTGCTGGCTAGAAGTAACTGAGAGATAACTACTCTACTCCATCTGACCCCAATTACATTGGCACTAAAGTCAAGTAAAATGAAAGGTCCCCAAAATAACTCAGATTACACTACCCTTTTGGTGTTTTAACAAATCTCACCAGGGAAAGTGTATCCTTTCAACTTCAATAAATTACACTGCCCAATTTTCTTTACTTTGGTCCTCAGCAGACCCTGGAAACAGGTCATCTTTATTTCTGCACGTGATCGTGCTAGGAAATGTAAAGAGCATCAACAAAAGGAAAGTAAAGTGCTACCATGCAGCAGGCATGAAGCCACAGAGCAGCCCCTGTTCCAGGCTGCCTGGGTGGCAGCTGGACACAATGGACCTCTGGAGACCCTCCCCAGGGTCTACTAGGGTTCCCACCACTCATTATACACTTGTCCCAATATTCTGGCAAGATCATCTTGATTGTTGTAAAATTCTTACCTGGGGAGGAAAAGTCAAATGCTACCAGGGATATTTTCAAGGTGACACTTCTCACTGTCATTAAACAAAATAGTGAAATCATATGAAGTTTTCTCCTTCTAGCCCTTTGGTGACTGAATTTGTAATAAAATTGTCTTACCAAAGATAGTCACTATTTGGTCCCTCATTAGCATGGAGTCACTGATTTATTCCCTAAGAATTATATTCCTATTTAGTCACGAAAAGTGAAGATTCTTTTCTTATCACAGTGGTTTTAAAACAGGGCCACAGGCTAGTGTAGCAGGCAGAAGGACTTGGGTTCAATACTCAACACTGTGAGAGAGGAAAAAAAAAAAAAACAAAACACATGGTCCGAAACTTTCTAACACTCCTCTTTGCTTTAAGTGGGGTTCTCCAAATGGTGAATGTCCTAAAAGCCACTGAATTATACATTAAGATGATTAAAATGGTGATTTTTTTTTTAATAGGGCTTGAACTCAGAGCCTGGTACTTGCTAGGCAGGCACTCTACCACTTGAGTCATGTCTCTAGTTCTTTTTTTGCTTATTTTTCAGGTAGGGTCTTGGGTTTTTGCAGGGGTGGGCCTCAGACTGCAATCCTCCTACCTATGCCTCCTGCATAGCTGACCAGCACACCCAGCTTATTTGTTGACATGGGATCTCACTTAACTTTTTGCCTGGGGTGACCTGGAACCGGGATCTTCCTACTCTTTGCCTCTGAAGAATCTGGAACTACATGTATAAGCCACAGCACTTGGCTATGTAATATGATTTTTTACATCAATGAAAACAGAGTAAAAATTGAGGCTCCCTTTCTCCTTTCTTTGGGCTTTGTGCCTGCTTGACCTATGAAACGTGGCAGAAGCAAGGCTGTGATTTCTGGGCACAGGACTTAAGAAATGGCTTCCATGTCCTATTTTCAGGACTCAGCCACCACACCATAAGTAAGTGTAAGAAGTCCTTGCAGAGGGCCACTAATAGAACTGAGGTCCTTGGGCCAGAGCAAGCTTAGCTCCCAGGTGACAGCCAGTCAGTCATATGAGTGTGTGAGTGAGTGAGCCATTTTGAAAGTGGGTACTCCAGTCCCCGTGAGCCTCTTCTGCCATGGCTATGCAGAGCTAAGACAAGTTACCCCTACCAGCCCTACCTAAGTCACTTGTGAGCAAAATAAATGCCTGGCAATGTTTGAAGCATTATTAAGCTTTGTGATTGTTTGTTATGCAGTAATAGAGAGAGTGGCTGGTCAGAGCAGGTCAGACAATTCTCTAACCTGGTACCACGATCAGTATGTTGTGGAAAGCAAGATCTTTAACACTGAAGAACTCACCCATATGTGTGCTTCACAAGTCAACTGAGTCACAGTCTAACGTGTTCACACCATACTCATGTCATCCAAACGATGCCCACAGTGGGGAAAAAAAAAAGGCATCTGACTTTCTTGCTAACAGATTTAAAAAGGAAAAGGGGGTGAGGGGGTCAAGAAAGCTATGGGGCACAAAATCTTGTAGGCTATCACATTAACATTACGGACAGCCATCAGTGAACCTTCTTAGAAAAAGTGACTGGAGGCGCTGTTTCTCCCTCCCTCTAGGCTGCCCTCTCACCTCCAGCCTTTCAGGTGGGGGCTCACTCTGCAGGATCCTCAAGGCTTTGGCAGCAGCATCATGTTTTGCAGCCTGTCTTGTCTTTCCTTTCCCGTTAAATTGCTGTCCTCCCACAGAAAGTTCAACTTGATAAAGTAAAGGTGGAACTGGAAATGGATAAAAGTACCTAAAAATAAACAAGTTAGGAAATTAGTCTCAGGTTGGTAAATCATCCATATAGGCTCTGGCAAATTCCCAGCGTTTTCTTCTTCATGGCCTAGTCACATTAGCATTTGCTTGCTAAAAATGACTCCTCATCAGTATATCCAGAGGTTTCACAAATCTTTCAACTGGATTATGTATGACTGCAAAGCAATTCACACTTATGCTCCATGAAATTGAATGGCTTACAAATTATGAGAGCTTAATGTATAATGTTAGTCTACACTGACAAAATCTAACATGGATTAGGCTCTGGCGGAGACAGAAACTCAAATTGCTTTACTTTCTCAAGCCCTAGATCTGAATCTGCACATCTCGGCAGCAGGCTGGGAACTGTAATGCTCAAGTCTGTAGAAAGGACCCAATAGCCCACAGCCTAGCAGAGCCTGGTGCTTACATTTCAGAGCTTGTCTTTTTAAATGGCTCCTTCCCTCCCACCAAAAGGAGGCTGAAGAGGAAAGAAGGGAAGTAAGTGAAGATTTCCACTTTGATTGTCAATGTACATACCAATGTCTTATTACTGCCAGCAGGAGGGTTTCAACACCTGGCATTTTCAAGTATCAATTAACATTTTACTGCTCAAAGCTACTTACAAAAGCACACAAGTTCAAAAGTCAAAAACTACCCAATAAACAATAATCAGAAAATCACAAATGCAGAGAACCATGGTGTCTTAAGAGTTATGTCCAAATGTGACTAAGTTACAAAAAGCAGCTGCCAGGGTGATACTTAGCCAGACTGCTGGGACCCAAGTCACATTGCCCATGAGAAACATGCTCAGGCCCTCTTCAAAGACAGCAGCTAAAAGAACACCAAGATGGTTTGGTTCCCAAAGGCACAATCGACACTTACATCCCACTTGGCAAAGAAGGCCAATATCATTACTTATTCCACAATTATGGCTATGTGTTCACCTGCGTTTTATAAGAACCACAGTCCACATACCTCGGGGGATAAGCACCTCCTCTCACTGTGTAGTTGTAGGTGGACTGCATCCTCGAGTAAGGATCCACAGGCTTATACATCTGTCTTTTTCCCAGTTTCATGCACAGCGCATTTAGCTCAACGGAAGGAGTTACGCTTTCTATAACACAAAATCAACAGAAAAAGTTGTTTCCTTCTGGCATAGGAATGATGATCACTAAAACAAACTATATGCTTTTTATACATGTACATAAAAGGGCTGAGTTCTTTGATGCCAGATGTCAGGCTTTCAACCATGATCCTCCTGAAATCTGCCTCCCAAGTAGCTAAGACAGGTGCCAGGTCAGGAAACCCAAGGATCTTCTGTGATTTTTTGATAGTAACAGTCAACAGCACAAAATATATTGTAAGGGCCATCAGACAGAGTAATAATTTCACCCAAGATGTTATCAGGTAAAGCCACACAACACAGTTGTCATAAATAAGTTCTAATACGTACCAAATTTCATGATTAAAAAAATCCCATGTGACTGTTCAAATTATTATTATTTGAGAACACTTAACCAAAACAACTTTGGTTGTCCTGATTTACTGTGTTACTAGCTTATACTTGGAATTATATTTGAACACACCATTTATTGACCAATATATTTATTATTAAACACTAAGAATACAAAGCTTGCTAAGCCTGACAGATATAATTTCTGTTCTTGAGGTGTTGAAAGAATATAAAACCCATTCTAAGAACTACAATACAGTGGGGTGTCCATCGTGGGAAAGGGTAAAATCAGGAGGAAGAGGCAAGCAGATGAGGTCCAGGATAATATCCATACACCTCCGTTCTCAACATTATAGGTTTGACCTGCAGTTGTACTTGTCAGGAAATGAATTCTATTTTCATATGCAACAGGAACTGGTAGTTACCACTGAATTGTCAACTTTAGAAAATAGACACCAGGGCTGGGGAGTGGCACAAGTAGTAGAGGGTCTGCCCAATAAGCACAAAGCCCTAAGTTCAAACCCAATAACCACCAAAAGAAAAACAAGGACACTATTCATTTCCTAATTTGTTCTTTCAGTTCATCCAACTCATAAGCCTTCATTTAAAAAGAAAAGTAGTCTGGAAACATTAGTGTCAGTGCACAACCATACTTAAAAACATCTTTGCTGGACATGGGTGGTACATGCCTGTAATCCCAGTACTCAGGAAGATGAGACAGGACAATCAGTAGTTTGAGGCAGACTGGATATCTTGACTCATCATCAAAAAAACAAAACAAAAACAAAACAAAAAAACAAAAAAAACCCCACCACCTTCATCTCAAACACAGAACAACGCTGGCAATGGCAAACTTCAATTTAAATGCACACAGTATACCTGGGCACCAGTGGCTGACACCTGTAATCCTAACTACTCAAGAGGCAGAGATCAGGAGGATGGCGATTCAAAGTCAGCCCAGACAAATAGTTTTCGAGACCCTATCTCAAAGAAACCCTTCACAAAACAGGACTGGGGTAGTGACTCAAATGCCTGCCTAGCAAGCATGAGGCCCTGAGTTCAAATCCTAGCATCTGGGATTTGTGCAACCAGCAGGTTACACGAGTTATGAGTGTTCCATCTTCACATTAGCATTTTGTTTTCCCCTTATTCCTATGGTTGCATTTTAAGTACAACCTGAATCATTTTAAGAGCAGTTCTGATCCAGAGGACGTATGTGTATGAGAGTATGAATTTGAAGAAAGAATATCACAAAGAAATCAAAGGCAAGAGAACCATCTGACCAAAATCTTCTGGATTTATCCCTGTCTACGTCATCTTGGGATGACTTCGTGCATGTGAGAGGGCTGCTCAAAGAGCCATGCCAACCACAGCCTTCAGGGTCCCTGCTTCTCAACCCTTTACCAGACACTTATCTTGAATCTTACTCTCCCTTCTTGGGGCACTTGTTTAAAGCACTATGACCTACTAGCACGTATATAGGTAGTTTATGTTTTTTCTCATTCTTTTTAACTGACAACCAGCACTTCTGAACAACAGATTAAAATCAATGTTGCCACACTGACTTGACAAGGTTCTACCTAAAACGTATGTTCTTGATAATCTGTACAAGGCGAAAAGGTGTCTTTTCACTATGCTTTTCTGAAATCTTAGAAATCATTTGAGGACAGCCCCCTTCCCATGACCCCTGCTACAGATCAGCAGGAGTCACAGGACTGGGAACCACTGCTTTAGCAAGGTTGGAGACTCCTAACTAAAATGAGTATTTGCCATTAGTAGTGTGGCATCTGTGCTTTCAAAAGCCTACAAGTCCTTAACAACTGTTCAGATCATACTCTAGACACACTTTTGAAAGGAACCTGTCTTGGCCCACTCCTATACCTGGATTCCTTCCTTCACTAAGAAAAGAGCAAGCAATGAGTTTAGGAATTTTGTTCCTTCCAAAGCTTTGACAGTAGCAATATTGAGCTCTTTCACAACTAGTTCCTGCAGCTCTCCATATTACCCATATTAACCTCCAAGGGTGAGCTGTGCTGTAAACACCTCCAAATGAGAAATGTGAACAATTCAAGAAACCTGAAGTTAACTGTGATGTGTCACTTGGACCTTGGACACATTTTATGGTCATGGTTTAAAAAGGTCATGTCATCAATGTCATCATCTTAATAATTCATTCCCCCCCCCCTTTTTTTTTTTTTGGCAGCACTAAGGTTTGAACTCAAAGCCTCACTCTTGCTAGGCAGGTACTCTTACCACTTGAGCCCCTCTACCAGCCCTTCCTTTTCCTTTTTAAAAATTTTTTTATGTATTGGTGGGGCACCAGTGGCTCACACTTGTAATTCTAGCTACTTGGGAGGCAGCGATCAGGAGCATTGTGGTTCAAGGCCAGCATGGGCAAATAGTTCAAGAGACCCTATCTTAAAAATACCCAACATTGATACTAGGCACTCCATGAAAAAATTGTACTTTGAAAGATGGGAGCAAGTACAAAGGCTGTTTTCTTATATACTAAAATAAACTATGCAGTTATTTGGAAGACATCCAAATATAAATTGTCTTCTGATTACTTCTCATGGAAGAGATTTAGACAAGGCGGCTGATTTAGACACATAGAAGTATCTCATACAAATCAAGACAAGGTAATATGTTGAGGACTCTTGTCAGAAAACACAATCTCATTAGGACAAAAACAAAACCATTTAGGAATGCCAAGCAGGTTTTAAAATGCTGTTTTCTCCTTTTCTACGACTGTAGCACTCAGATGCTGATCTCCACTTTCAAGAAGATCAGACCCACAGCAAGTGAAGATCTAAAACTACTTCTGAATTCAACTCTAAGGAAGCATCCAAAACAACTAACTTTGTCCTTAACACATGCTGTGGAAGATGAGCCTTTCTTCCTACATAAAGTCAACTCAATTAGGTTACATTAATCCTCACTATTGATCCATATTCTGTCAAAAACTTCTGACCCATCTTCACAAAGTGATTCTTTAACTCCGTCAAGCATCTGAAGGACTAGGAAGCCCAGGAGAGCAAACACCCAGATCCCATCCCTAGAACTGTGACCATAAAGCAGGAGGAAAATCTGGCCCTTGTGTTTTTAGCAAGCCCCCAAAACAATTCTAATGCATTCCAAAGTACTACTTTGGAACTCAGTGAAATTAATCAGAGCTGTTATTTTTCTGATTTTATCACAGGCTAATATTTAAATTCATTTATAAATGTTCAGAAAAACACTGGTTTAAATATGCTAGGTCATTTAAATTTGGTGCCTAAGAATTCAGGGTAATTTGTCTTCTCAGCTTTTGTTGTTTTGTTTTATAGTTCTTAACCTCAGCATTCCCTCAGTATACAGCTTCTACTAACAAAGAAGATTTTAAGAATCGTTCATCACCCTTAAAACATTAAGGGCCTCCTATGTTCAGTAGTTCACAAGATTACTGACTTAAGTATCAAATAGCATGAATCCTCACTGGCCTGAGAAGTCAAGGGGCAGACACCCACATTGCAGTGCCATCCATCCATTGGTCATTCTGGTGATGGATCGCTCCATGGAAAGAAGCCAAGGGAAAATGCTTAAAAAGAAAAGGCGTCAATCTCATGAACAATCTTGCCTTTCTCCAGGACTTTCTACATCCAGTGTGTTGCCACTTGGCTGCATTCTGTGTTGCTGGCAAGGTTATAATCTTGGTTTTACTAGAAAATTTACTCAAGAGCTGGGCACCACTGGCTCATGCCTATAATCCTAGCTACTCAAGAGGCAGAGATCAGGAGGATGATGGTTCAAAGCCAGCCTCAGCCAAAAAGTTTTCAAGACCCTATCTCAAAAAAACCCATCACATAGGTACCAATGGGAAGGGGGTGGGCACAAGAAAAAGGGGAATGAGGGAATATATGGTGAATGTATTTTATGTCCATATATGAAAACAGAAGAGTGAAACCTGTTGGAATTGTTCCAAGAAGAGCGGGAGAGGAGAAGAGGGAGAACATGGAGGGGGTAAATCCAACTAAAATACAAGCACATATGTAAATATCAATGTATTCCCCTGTATGACTATTGCATGCTAATAAAATTAGTAAAAAGAAAAAACCCATTACAAAAAAAGGGCTGGCAGGGTGGCTCAAGTGGTAAGAGAACCTACCTAGCAAGCATGAGGCCCTGAGTTCAAACCCCAGTGCCACCAAAAAATAACAAAAAAAAAAATATACCAGGCTTAGTATGGTAGGCCCACAGTCAGCACTCAGGAAGTGGAGCCAGGAGGATTGTAAGTTCAAGTCCAACCTGAGCTATGTACTGAGATCTTGTTTCCAAAAATAAAAACAAAAACAAAATCAAAACAACAAAAAACAGAAACAACAACCACAAAAAAAATAACCTAAGGAGCTGGAGGAGTGGCTCAAGTGTTAGAGCACTTGCCTAGCAAGTGTGAGGCCTTGTGTTCAAACCCCAGCACCACCAAAATAAAAAATAAATAAATAACTAGTAGTTGCCCAGGAGAAGCCTGTCCTCTTTGAACAACTTGTTGGTAAAAAGAAAAAAAACACAGTTGTGGGTGAATGCACAGCCAAACTGCCTAAATTGCTAAATGTTCAAGTTCAGAAAGTGCATATTGTAGGGGCTGGTGGAGTGGCTCAAGTGGTAGAGTGCCTGCCTAACAAGCATTCAAAACCCAGTACTGTCAAAAAAAAAAAAAAAAAAAAAAAGTGCATATTCCAAAAAACTTTTTTTAAATAGTTAATAAAAGGAATCTCAAAGTTTCTTGTAAACACAACAATTACAGAAAATGACTGACTGATGACTGATAGTCCTTCAAATACAAAGAAACATTCTGAAGATGACATTTTCAGGTACTCAGGGGAGTGGGGCTGTGCTGGCTCTCTTAAACACGTGATACTTAGTGAGCTGCATGCTCAAGCACTTACCGTGTGCCAGGCACTGCAGCATATATGGCCCTCTGATTCACTCTCAATAGACCTGTTTGTTAGCTATTATCCCCATTTTACAGAGGAGGAAAATGAGGTTCAAAAAAGTACTCTCTGCTCAAGGTCACAGAGCTAGTAAGAAGCTGGGATTCCAACTCAGACCTGTCTGGCTCCAAAGACAATTCACCTAACCATGCTAGGTGGTGCTCAGTGTTACTTTTAGTCAAATGAAAGAAACATGTGACTTCATTCAAGGCTTGAGGCTTCCATGTGAAGCAAAATGAGATAAGTATCTCATTCTTAATACATTATCTTTGATGCAAGACTTGTATCAGAAACAGATGGCCTTATCTCTCATACTGTATCATCTTGTACCATTTCCAAAAGAGGTAAAGCCAGATATGAAAAAATTAAGGGCCAAAGATACACATTAGCAGATCCCAAACAAGTTTAAAAGACTAAACTTGATAACAATTAGCAAAATTTCAAATAATAATCCTTCATTCTCTAAGACAAAAGAATAACAAAAATGAGTGCAATTCATTATGCTTCCTTGGAGGGGAATTTCTACCTTGCATCATCAAACCTTTAACCTAGACTGCTAACAAATGGCAAAACTGCCTTCCCATATCCTCCTCTCCCTGTCCAGTCCACATGCAGACAAGCTGGAAAGGAGGCAGAGGAACGCTGCAAACAGAAGGCTCATGGGAAATCAACCACAGTGCTTGGGAATTGTCTCTATTTAGAATCTTAAACAATCACACACTATTTTAAGTTTTAAAGCCAAATACTCCAATATTTTCTTTGGCCTATTCTGAAAAAAATTAAAAAAAAAAAAACTCTTTAAAAACATGTACTTTTGTATCTCTTGATCTTAGCAGTTTGAAAATATGTGTTTTGAACCACAGTACCACTTTCAACAGTAGGAAAAAAAACAGAAAACCTTCCTGGTGGGTTACAATACATAGGTAGAATGGGAAATATTTTACTTTATAGTTAGCCATGCAAAAGCTCACATTCAGAGCTAACTCATTCACAAGATGCACTGGGGCACCATGTTAGAGGGATTTGGGAAATAATGTCAGACCACAAAACCTACTACTAGCAGTACATACGACTGCTCTTCTCCCAGGAACATAAAAACTGAAGCGCTAAGGATTTCAGCATCAGTACCATCTTGTACATGCTGGGAACACACCTAAAGAAGACACAAGTAGGGTCTTTTCTGAACCAACTGACCAGGTAACCTAAGAAATGGTGTCTTCCAAAGAGTCAGGAGAACAACTAACCCAGGGCAAATGAGCAAGATTTGGAATCTGCTGAATCATTGCTATTCCAACCAATCAAGGCAATCAAAGGAGGTCTTCTGAGCAGACACACTGGTTATTACTATGACAGCTGTCAGCTGCAGTCTATTGGTGTTTCACTAAATCCAACATACTAGTACCACACCAAAACTTGGCCATTTTCCACAGAGCTAGCTTCTCTTTCCTAGGGCATTCCTAATTCTTTCTCCAAAGGCTGCTGATCTATTCTGACAATTATGTTAAATAAAATACAATGGCCACAATGGGAAAGAGTTTACAAAGTCAGTAGGATGTGGATACAAGAACATATTAGAAGAAAAAGCAAAAAATCTGGAGGACTGAATTAGTCTGTGCCATTTCCTTTCAACACAGCCCCACACGGCAGGATGATGATAGCTCTTGCCTGTAATCCAAGCTACTCAGGAAACAGAGATCAGGAGGATCATGGTTCCACACCAGTCCAGGAAAATAGTTTGCAAGACTGTATCTCAAAAATAACCAACACAAAAAAGGGCTGACAGAGTACCTCAAGTGGTACACTGCCTATCACTCATGAGGGCCTGAGTTCAAACCCCAGTAATCAAAAAAAAAAAAAAAGACAGACAGACAGCCCCACGTTGAAAAATGGCAAAACAGGAGATGATGATAAGACAAGAATGCTATTTGTTAAGTAGTTTGAGGAATTCTGGAGGCAGCTGAGAGCAGGAGAAGCAACCCCATAAGAACAGATTTACCATAAAGGAAATGAGAGGACAAAGGAAGAAACGCACAGGATGCTGTCAGGCACAGGCAGGGCTGAAAAGAGTCTGTTATAAGGTGACTGGTGTGGAGACACCAAGTTGACATCTAATTTACATTATGTCTTGCCACTATGAGGAGGAGCAGAACATCATGTTTAGGCTTTTCCTCTAAGCGTTTCAAGTCTTTTCTAATCAATAACTATCTCTAGTTCATTTTTAATTTCCTAAAAATAATCAAATTTGAATGCTTCTAAATATATTCCATTTTTTAAAAATCTCTGCTTCTTGGGTTGGGTTGGTGGCACACACCTGTCTAACTTCTCCAGAGGTGGGGGTAGGAGGACTGCGGTTAAAGGATGGCCTGGACAAAAGTTAGTGAGACCTCATCTGAAAAGCAAACTAAAAGGCAAAAGGACTGTGAGCATGCTCTAATGGTAGAGTGTTTGGACAGGCCCTGAGTTCAATTTCACTGTCATCAAAAAAATCTCTGCTTCTATATTCAATTTCTGAGTGGCTCTCCCTATAATTTCTGAACTAGCTCTGGAATGGCCCAGATTTCAAACTTACTTGTTCAAACCAAAAATTAGCAAATGACAGTGACTCTTGCCTTCTAGTAAACCTGACTGTCCCCCTTGTTTGGAATATAATCTTGTAAACATACAGAAAGAAGGCATACACATACAAGAGTTCTTTGTCGGTTCTGGGAAATATTTTCAAAAACAGAATTTTCCCAGAGAACAATGACTGTCCAAAGTGCCATTTATTCTTCAATTCTTTCTGTCAGCCACCATTTTCTAACAGATGAGGCTTTACAGTTTGACCAGTCATCAACTCTTTTTCTTACATCTCCAAATGCTCTGTCTACTGAGGCCTCCGTCCCCTACATACATCCAAGGTTCTCTATCTGGGACACAGAACATGGGTGATAAGATAGATAAAACCTTCTACTCCTTGAAAGTAAATGTGAGAGCTCAATGCCTCTGGCAACCTACTTGTCAGATCAGGAAACAGGCTGAGAAAACACGGGAAAGAGAAGACGTGGATTCACAGGCTTACCTGCAGCTGCACTGGAGGATGTAACAGATGCAGAGGGCAAAGCAGAGTTTTGGATAGGTCTACCTGCATGTTCAGAGGGCAGAGAGCTAGCAGTAGAAGGGATACTCATCAGAGGCTGTGAGAGAAGAGACTGGTTCTTGTTCAGTATTTGACTCCCTGAGAGAGTAGCAGATGGGTTCTGAACTTGCACTTGAACTTGAGACATGGTCACTCTCAACAAAAGTGAACAACTGCAGGTAAACAGCTTTCAGTGCAGGTTAATTCAGTGCTATGAAGTCTAAAGTTCTACCTAAAAGTTGTAAGGAAAAGAAAATTAAAAAGGTAAATTATAGAGGAGATACATTAATTGCTGATATTCAGCCAAAATTGGTGTTGCCTACTCAGTTATGAAAATAGTTCCATTAAGCACGTAGCTATGTTGATACATTAAAATATATTTCTTCTAGCTGGACACTGGTGGTTCATGCCTGTAATCTTAGCGTCTTGGTATGCTGAGATCGGGAGCATCCTGGTTCAAGGCCAGATTGGGAAAATAGTTTGAAAGACTCCATCTCCAAAATAACCACAGCAAAATGAACTGGAGATGTGGCTCAAGTGGTAGAGTGCCTGCTTTACAAGTGCAAAGCCCTGAGTTCAAACCCCAATCCCACCAAAAGAAAAAGAAAAAGAAAGAAATGTTTCTTCTTCATACATAGTAAGTTTCCTGGCCTTGTAGCTTTCCTGTAGTGTGTGTTAGAATGAATTGGAATGACTGCATCTCTGCATGTTCACTTTTCAGAGTATCAGTAGGGCATCATATGTATCATGGAATATTAGGAATTGCAAACTACAGCTGACATCCAGAGTGAAAATTTAAAAGTATGGAGAGGTTTTCCATAGTACATGGAATATGATAAAGGTCTCTGGTCACAAAATCATGAAAACTGAAGGTAAAGTGGACTAGTAACACCACTAACAGGCCAATGTAAACACTGCTTCCACTTAAAGTCATAGGCTCGGAAGTACCTGTAAAGCTTTTCCTTCATTTGACTGAAGGGAGGATTTTCACTTTTGATGTTTCATTTTCCTTATGATGATAAAAGATCTACTGTTTGCCTAAGAGGTTATTTCCGGGGGTCTCATTTAATTACAGATCCTTCACCAGAAAAGTGTTGCACTCACGGCAAGGCTCCTGATCCTGAGGAGTTAAGTGAATAGCAAACTTCCCTAGTCCTGAGATTGTTACAAGTAGGAGTGGAGAGAATGAAGAGCCCTGCAGACTGCAGACGGACAGCATGCTGCTGTGCTGGGCACGGGACGCTCTGGAGATTGTTTACCTCATTTGTAAGTTAAAAGAGCTGAAAAGGCAGTATTTCTAAATTCACTGAAATTTCTTCACAAGCCAAAAATAGGGACAGTTCTCATTTTCATCGCCATCCTTCAAAATGCTGAAAATGTTTTAAGCAAATCAAAAGTACGTAAAAATAACCAGTAGCAACAAACACTAGAAATGACAGGTCTCTCAGGAAAAAGCCAACCAAGCAGAATACAGCATACCAACTAATTAGAAGTTCTATTGCAGAGGAACTGTCCTGTCGTGTCTGTTTTTTGTAAAGTCTCATAATGATTTTTAAAGTCAGACTCCTACAAAGAAATGAATGACCAGAGTAAGTAATTTACTTGAGGAGTCCTAGCACATTCTCTCATTCTATGGAGCAAAAAGACTGCAAACCCCAAAAGAAACTCACTACAACATGACTTGGGGGGTGAAGAAACAGTTACCTCAGTCATCAAAGTCCCCAGCAGTACAGTTGTTCTTTGCTTACTTCTGAGGTCAGAATAAAATAACGGAGGAGGCCCGTTGAAGATATAGAGGTAATGGTCTTAGCAGACAAGTTGCCAGTGTCAAGAAACAAGTCCAGAACTGTTCAGAAGTCAGCTAAGCCCTTGTTTTGTTTCTTCTTTGAGCTGCCAAAGTGAGAAATAGTTCTCTCTTTCCCTCACTCACTCCTTCTCCCTTTCCCACTCTTTCTAGACTCTGCCTTGAGAGCATTATTTACCAAGAGCAACAAATTACTTCACAACTCACAACTTCACAATCCCAATGAGAGGTCACAAGTAATAAGCCAAAGTGAAGGTCTGCTCCAGTGTCCACTCCATCCCAGGATGAGCAACCCAACTCTGCACAGGATGACTGAGTCTAAGACTCGGAATGAAGACCTAAGTTTAGAAAGGGAGGGGCCCAGAGGGATCCTTTTTGACTAAGGCTGCTAAAGTAGGCTCATAGGCAGCATTTGCAGTTACAATCATAAGTACTATGTTTTCTAAGACTGCCCCCAAAATGTTAACCTCAAGGACACCTGAAGGAGCTGTCTTTGTAACAACTGGTTGAAACAAGTAGTCAGATATTGCAAATTAAAAAAAAATGTGCAAACCTCCCAAATAAGACTGCACTTTATCATCTTTAAATTTCCAACATAAGCAATACCAAAATTCACCAAGCAGGAGGCAGGGCCTAGCCCCACAAAAAGAGAGAAAGAAAAACAAAACATTTGCCAATGTTTCAGTCACTTGCTAATTTAGCCTCCTGAATGTCTTACAGAAACCTCAAAAGAGAATAGAAAGCAAATGTTCTCAGGAGAGGGCAATTGTTTCCCCAGGGGATACCTGCAATGTCTAGAGACTTTTTTTTTGTTGTCACAACCTCTGTGGACTTGGGGATAAGGTCATAAATATTTAGTGGGTAGAAGAGCCAGGGATGACAAACAGATATCATAGCTGTGAATGGGGAAAATATTTTGTTTACTCACATGATTCAAACAATAAATCAAGTTCTTCACTACTGATATTTATAAAGTTCACAGCAGCCTTTGGGGGAACCATACAATTTGGAACTACTGCTTCCAAGTATAAATTCTGAACCTCTTACTTGAAGATTTGAACCTGTTTTCCTGAAGAGTAAATCCTTAATCCAACCTCAGTCTTTCCCTTTAAACTTGTCCTTAAGGATCAGTTAAATCTGGGATTCACTTGAAATCAAACTGTTTTGTTAGAGTTTTCTTAAAGAACAACAAATACTGTGTTCCCTTTGCAGTACATGTAACTTGAACTGGAACAATACAGGGAAGATTAGCATGGCCCTGCACAAGGATGACATGCAAATTCATGAATCATTCCATATTAGGGAAAAAAACAATAATAGTTTATGCACAATGAAATAAGGCTGAAGTCTGAAACACAAAGATTCTTTAGTTCTTGATGGAAACACCTCTGATTATGAAGCCTGTGCTGTCATTGCCCTTCCTTCCCGTGCAGATCTGGGCCTTTATTCTCCTAGGGTTTGCCTTTTGAAGGACTCAGATAACATGCTCCTCTTCCTCTCAACCCTACCATTTATGGAGCACACTAAGAGGGATGAAGCAATGGAGTTGTAGGTGCTTCTTTTAAAAGATTCCTTAATTCCAAATCCCCAGAGTCCTAATATCAGCTTGGTGATATAAAAATCTTCTCATTAAAAAGAGTCTCGCCAGGCATAGCGGCAAACAACTCAGGGCCTTAAGCTTTCCAAGCAGGTGCTCTAACACTTGAGCCACTACCCAAACCCTAATAACCAATTTTTAAATCCGAATTAATTCCTGACTTATAATGTAGTATTTATACTTTTGTATAATCCAATACATCATTCACCTTTAAAAGAAGTGATATTTCCAAGTAAGATAAAAAAAGGAACAAATGAAAGAAGTGATTGCAATTCTGGACAAACTTCCTTTTTGGAGATGAACATAAACATTTCACTAAATAGCTCCCCTTGCAAGTCCTTCTGTAAGTCTCATGTAATGTGAGTCACACTACAAAGAAGCACTCTGTTCCTCACCATAATAAACATTACAATATCAACTGCAAGTTTAGCCTATGTTAATTTACTATTCAGCAAAAAAAGTATTAAGCATCTACTACATGTGAACCCATAAATAGCAAATTGTACAGTCCCCATGTAATCCTGGAAAGAATCTATCTGTTGATGTTTTTTTCTTAAACAAAGAAATATTTTCTTAACAGCAACACAAAAATATGGGGCGCTTCACAAGTTTGCATGTCATCCTTGTGCAGGGACCATACTAACCTTCTCTGGATTGTTGCGGAAGCAAGCACTATTTGTTAAACTTTTTGTCAAAGAAACAAGAAGAGATCTTTCAACAACCAATCAAAAACCTATTAACCTGATCTTTTTATTTAGTTTTTGGGAGTCTCCACTTCCAGAGAAACATGGTCACTTTTCCTACAACATAAAGTCCTTTTTCAAACCTTTGAAATACAAGGACTCCCCCAAGAGGTACTTCTAAGATCCTTTTTGACATTTTTCTACTCTCAATGAGGCTATATTTTCTGTGAGTAAACCCAATTCCCACCATTATTCAATCCTTCCCCTGCCTGCCCAACACCTGGAGCCAGGAAAGCCACAAGGACAGAAGCATGCAAACCACTATGATCCTACATAATCATTTCCAAAATAGCTGAATTTAAGGTCAATGTTGAGCAAATAATGGTCAATAGCAGGCCCACAAATATATATAATCACACAGTAACAAAATGTTCTTTAAAAGAAATATGACCAAACTACTTAAAAAAAAAAAAAACACAAAGAAAAGACCACGCTCAAGAGAAAGAAAAACAAAGGCAAATTAGGTCTGAGGCACTATAGTCACTTGCAAGACAATAAAATTCACCAAAATAATGCCTGGAAACAACTCAGACTGCTCAAGATCTTTGCATTCAGTACAAATGAATGAATGTGGCCTATCTCACACTTGGTCCAATGCCAAGCAGGCAATGAAGGATTTTCTTTCCACACAACAACAACTATTGGGTGGTCTGCCTAAAGAAACACTTTCTAAAAGAGAACTCATTAATTTTTTACCCTAGAAAAACCATCACATCATACAAAAGTGAAGAAGAATTTACCTCGACAGCCTAACCAGTCACAAAGCTACCCCTCCCTCAGAGACGGTCTTAAAAATAATTAAAGAACAAACATTATTTTTGTAAATTTTTTTTAAATCTAAACTTATAAAAACATGAGAAAATGCTTTCAAGTAACCAAATGAGCATCTACACTCACAGCCTGGTGGCAGAGTGAAGGAGCTGCCTGTGCTGCATATTCTTGACTAAGAAGGGGCTCAGTCAAATATCATAGCTCACTGGCTTTTCCTTTCAGAAAAAGAAAGCTGTCGACTGTAACCCTGTGCCATCTACATAGAAATATGACTACAATGACCATCATCTTCACCAAAACAGACCAACGCCAAGACTCAGGTTCTCAGAAACTAGCCTTGCTGCTACACAGCAACCAACCATGTCCAATCAAAGCAAACTTCTCAGCGTGGCTTTCAGTTCTACTCTCAGCTCAGCCAGTAACTGTAGGTGCAACTCTTGGCAATCCTCTTCCCTGTGCCTCAGTTTCCCCAAAGCACTTTCTAATAGGATATTTGACAAAGCCTCATTTGTAGCAATCAGCGCCAACATACTAAAGGAATCCTGAAGTCTGGTAATGAATTCTTTGAAAAGAAAGGCATTATACAAATTCAGGGTGATGCGTAAACCCATTCACTGAGCTTTACACAATTCCTCTAACTCCTTATGCTTCAGTTTCCTCTTTCCCCAAAAAAAGTGAGTTACCCTACCCACTAAATACTGTCTCAGAGAGACGGCATGGAAATGTGCTTCGGCTACTGGAGGCAAAGTGCTACCAAACACAAAGCAGTGTTAGTGTGCAGTTTGTTCTGCAGTTCCCAGGCAAGACTAAAATCCTCGATGCACTTACGACACTCTTTTTTTTTTTCTTTTGGCCTGAATGATCACAAGCTGCCAGGGGTAAACAGAGCTTGATTTATAACCCTATCTCTCAGCAGAAAACAATGTTGCATTAGTTCCACAAGTTTGACAACCAAGTTTAACATAAACAATCTGAGAAATCAAAGGCTTTTAAAAAGAAAGCAAACTACAAACGCTCTTGTGATGAAGGTGCTTATTGTGCAAGCTACTCGGCAGTGGTTGGTTTTCACATCCGCACATTTAAAATACATGGTGGTGCTGGCAAGAGGGTTTTACAATTGCCAACAACTTTTCCCACTTTTACTTTCTAATTAAATCAAGAATAAAAAAGAAATTCAAACTTCATAAAATTTCTTGTTTTTCTAGTATTACAATCAGAAGTAAAAATCATTTTCCATACAAGTCAACGAAGAATTCAAAAGTATTCACAATTATAAACAGGCCTGAAATTATAAAGTCAAATTATGTGTACCTGAAAGAGGGTACTCCAGCAACAATGCTGTTTTCGCCCAGTTCTGAGAGATTTCGTGGTTAGGAGACTCCTGGAAAATAAGACACAGTAATTTACTCAGGTAGATAGTTTTTCCTGAAAATGAAGATACATATTGCTCAAGTAAGAGGGGAACCTAAAACCTGTAAGCAGGGAAAGTTGTGAAAGCATGAAGTCATGGCCTGAAGCAGCAAACCTTAGACTCCACAAAAGATACCACACCACCCGGGAACTGGGTGAAGAGTACTTCACAGGGATGGACTGAGACACAAGAGAGCCTTCCTTCTCTAGTCTCAGCTACTTCCTGATGACAGACCGGTGGTTCATCATTTTTTTTTAAGAACCAGACTTCATATACTGCCTAATCACAGCCTGATTTTCAACCTGGTGAGATTCCCCCAGCATACAATTACAGGCTAACTATCTTATTCATAAATGCCCCTGCCATATACTTATGATATAAATCCAGAAAGTGTTCTGTACATAGTGTTATGTTAAATTGCAAAATATGAGAAAAAGCACATTATTTCTGGCAAATCCAAATCATAACCATTTATAACTAGATTTGAGATGACAAATTTAGTTTTTTAAATTTTCAACCTCTTACCTCAACTTATGTAGTGGCCCCCCACTTTTAAAGGTGGTCGGTAACAAACAATTTCTTTCCTTGGAGTGTTTTTTTTGCATTTATACCTCATGAAACATTCTTGATCATCCCTGTTTCTCATTGCTACTACAGTGTAACAGACAATAAAAGATTGCCACTTACTATCTAAATAACCTCAAATAAAATCATGCGGGGCGCCTACAGCTCACACCTATAATCCTAGCTTCTTGGGAGGCAGAGATCAAGAGAATCACAGTTGGAGGTCAGACCAGGCAAATAGTTCAAGAGACCCCCCCATTTCCAAAACAACCAGAGAAAAATGAATTGGAGGAGTGGCTCAAGTGGTACACTGCCTGCCTTGCAAGTGCAAAGCCCTGAATTCAAACCCCAGGACCACAAAAAAAAAAGGCACACAAGAATGCAAGAGAACAAATTAAACTCATAGCCTTTATTCACTTTATTCCGCTAACACCTATTATTTGTAGGCATGCTCTATTCTAGACACTGAGGAGAGGTGTATACAATTAAAATGCTGTCCTCATGAAATTTGCCTAGAAACAACCTTGAACCCAATACAAAATTTTTAAACAAATAATTCACAATGGCACTTTAATTAGTAACAAATCACTTAAACTCTCATTACCTCCTAGCTGAAAGACTCTAACAAATAAACTGTGCCGCCCTTGCTATGAACTGCTGATTTAGAACGACACAAGCAGCCAGCACACAGGTGATAGCTCTGGTGGAGAACTCTTGAGCAAGTTACAGCCAAAGACTTCAGTCTTTTAGTATGTGAAATGAGGTTACCACCACCAATTTCACGTTGAATGAAACAGTAATCATGTGGTTCCTGGGTGGATTAGCAGGTAAGGTAGGTGAAATGCTTATAAATTGTGATATACCACATTAAAACTAGCTGTTAAACACTACTTTATTGGGATACACTATAAACTAATAATATAAAAAAGTTACTGATGAAATACATTCAAAGAAAAAAATGCCAAAATTTAGAAGGACTTCATGCAAAAACAGTAATTTTTGTTTGTTTGTACTGAGGAATACATTGTGACATTTACATATGCGCTTACAATATATCTTAATTAGATTTGCCCCCTACCCCATGTTCTCCCTCATCCCCTTCCCCACTTCTTAAAACAATTTCAACAGGTTTCATTGTTCTATTTTCACACATGAATACAAAATACATCCATCATACTCACTCCTTCACCCTCTCGTTTTGCACTTCCTCTCCCAATGGTACCCACCAATTGGCAAAGGACCTGTTTTACATTCCTGTCCTTCATTTAGTGTTATTTATTTTATTCTTTTTATGTTTAGTACTTAAATTCTCAACTAACAGAAATTACTACCTAAAAGTAGTCTTAAGTTAAGCCTTACAGACTGTAAAGATTATGCTACAAAAGCCAAAAGCAAACTTATTTACCTAAGTCTGTGTGACTGTCACCTAGGGGAAGGGTCAGGTAGTCTCAGTGGGCAGCGTGGTTAAACTGTGCAACAAAGAACTAAGATTTCAAGTAGAATCAGACGTAATGCATATAAATTACCCTCTACTGGACAGAGGACTGCCTAGCATTCTGCATAAAGTCACAGTGGCATCAGCAGACAATGGTCCTATTTATATCAGGTGGAATCTGCAAAAGTAGAAAATCCATGCCTCAATTTTAATCTGTATGAAAAATGGACTTGAAGAAAGCAAAGGTGTGAGAGGATCAGACAAGACCTAGCGAGGTCACAAAGCTCAGTCATGAGCAAAGCCACATACTAACAATTTAAGCAGCATTATCTGCTTACTTCATTCTTAGAAAAGAGCCATTTCCAACACCTTTTCATGATTAATGAGACACACTTATATCATTACAGACTACACAGTCACCTCGACTGCACACAAATCCAGAGGCAGATCTAATTTAATTGATCCAACCTTTTAAGATAAGCCATAAGGGACGACTGTCTGAGTGGAGAATGAGAGGCTTTTGGTTCAGGAGATCATAGATTCAAAGAAAGTAAAACAGAAATTGTTCAGGAAGCAGTTCAATATTAAACAGAAAGTTACATTAAATACGCCAACATCATTAACCAGGAATTGGATCTTAGAAACAGCTGGGAAGGAAAGATAGCAGCAAGCACCTACCCTTAAAAGTTAATTGGGATTCCATCCTCCCTAGTACCACAAAACAAAAACAAAAACAGCACAAAACAAACCTTCGAAAGTTAATTGTACGCTTAGTAAATTCTTTTCCAATAAAGCAGGGTATAATAATTCAAAAGAAACTAATTTTCTTAGCAACAACCTTGACTATAGTTAATAAATCATTTTTAACAAACTTTAGTGACAGGTTATAGCAATATTTTAGTAGATAGCTAGAGTCCTTCAGCAAAGGTTTTCACAGGGTTAAATCATTGAGGTCCTCATTTCCCACTAACCCCTCCGCACACACAAACCTGTGAATCAGCTTAAAGGTTTCAGCTTAATTTGACACAACAAAAGGGCCCAATTAAAAGACAGAGTATTACCTAAACATACTTTCTTTCAAAGTGACCTAAAATTCTACTGAACAAAATCCACTCTGGGGTTAAAAAAAAAATCCTATCTGCAGTGGATGGGCAGCTAGAGGGAGGCATCAGTGACAATCAGAATCAATTATCCTAAACAAAAAGCACCTAAGCAGGATCAAAGAGGCAGCCAGACTAAATGAAAGGGGGGAACTGGCTTCGGAGCCAGACCACACTGTGCTCAGGCACTAATGTCTCAGGGCAGGGGACCCTGCCCAGGTACTTGGGCTCTCAAGGGCCTGGGTATCCTTAGTTATTACACCCTTACTCTGCAAAGATGCCTGCGGTTATTAGAAATCCAACATAAAGGGTCTATCAACTTCAATCCTTGACACAAGGAAGAGCCCAATGAAATACAGCTTTTCATATGCTTAAATTGAACCTGACCTTTTAGATTCCTTTTCTGCATCAAGTAACTCTCAGCCTGCAGTTCTAACCTGGCACTTCTTAAGAGCTCAATAAATAGTAGCACATATTACTATCCAGCAAACTCACTAACCCTGTCCTCAGCCACATAAACATCTATAAATATTAACTTATAGCTACATACCACTTGTAAGAATTTTTAAATGGCAACAGAGAACATGCTGACTCCAATCAACCCACTCACTGGTGCAGCAACAGGAGAAGCAATTCTGGGAGGGCTTAGCCCTTGTACTCCGGCAGAAAAGACTCCAAGGCACTCATATAGATTTTGTAGCCTTTGTGGTATGGGAGATAGGACAAAAAACTTCCATTAGTGTAAATTAAATGGCCAGTTTTGCTTCCATTACCATTACAAACACAAAAGTTACCACACTTCTTTCCCAAATTAGATCCCAGATTAAATAGAAGCCAAATGGGTCACATTTAATATTTAGAAGACTAATTTTTAATCAAAAGCAAATACTTTTTTTTTGTCTTTAGCAAATACTTGGACAGATTTTTTTCTCCCACTTTTTCTTTCAGTTAATACACTTTGAGAAAGCCCCTAAGTATATGCCTTTAATAAATAAATAAACACCTGTAGTCCCAGAAAATACAATTAAACAGTTGGCAGTGGCTTTGTTTCTACATTCATGTACCTGGTAACACAGATCACTTTTTCATTAACCTTGTTCACTAGTGTGAAAATGTAAGTATTCAATAAATTAACCTATTTGCAGTAATGTCCCATTTTGCTATCATAAAAATATTTTCTTTGGAGAAGATTTTCAGTTCAGAGCATTAAGTTCTCAACAAGATAGATATCTAAACCATCCATGATGGCATTTGATAAGATCAACAGAGCTATATAGTTATAATCCTATTATCTCCTCAGTAGACAAGAACAAAGGATTTGGTCAACATTAATTAAGCTTTGTAATACTGGATTTATAGACAAGTATCTTGGTGCAAAAGTTAATACACAATTTGCTTTAAAAGCAGAGACTTCTGGAGTCAAAGCATAATTGGAAATAAAAATCAACAAAGTCTTGGCTTTTAAAGATCTGGGAATAAAAACAAAAACAAAAAAAGATCCAGGAAACACTGGGTTATGTGGTGGGTGGGGAAGATCTAGAAATAATTTAAAGGACTATCTTAAATTAAAATGAAATGTAGGGCTGGTGGATTGGCTCAAGCAGTGAAAGTGCCTGCCTAGCAAGCATGAGGCCCTGAGTTCAAACCTGAGTACCGAAAAATAAATAAATAAGTAAAATGAAGTGAACTGTGTAGCTGGAAATGTAGCTCAGCAGTAGAGCTTTTGCCTAGCACACTGGAGGGCCTGGGTTCTTCCCCAGCACCACAAAACAAATAACTGTAATAAGTATAAGTTGAAGTGTTTCATGTAGTGATACAGCAATTTACTTTACAATGCAAACAAAAATAAAAAGGATTAATGAATCAAGAGGGAAAAAAGATGAATTAAGAGAGGGCAGATGAGATAAACATGGTAAAGCAAGCATAGTAACATATTAAGGGTAGAAGGTAGGTGGTGTTTATGGAGGTGTACACTAAAATTTTAGAAACTTTAGTATAGGTTTGAAATTTTTCATAATAAATGTTGAGAGAAAATAACCATAGCAACTAACATGTCTTCACATGGTTCAATCTCTAACTTATAATTTATTTTTTTTGGAACAGCATAAATGTTATAGCTTTGATTCTGATGTTTTATTTTTTTAAAAGTTCACATAGAAAATTACACTAGAAGCGATTCAACCACAAAGTTCTCCACCAGAAGTTAATTTAAAACAATCTGTTATAAGTTTAGTGTGAAACAAATCTGTCATAAAATAATGTAAACATTTTTGAAGTATCTAAAATCCCAGTCTAAAAGGAAAGAACGCAACCCTACAAGTTCCCATGTGAGGAGGAAGAATTTATGTTTCCCCAAATTAAGCAATTCCATGTCTCTAGGTTTGACACCAAATAAGATGATCCAGTTTGGAGGCTCATAAAAATAAGGCCTTTGGAACTGACTAGGATCCCTCAAAGGGATCTTTTTCATGTAAGTTTCATCCTTACCCATCTCTCTCACCCAACAAAGGGCCTCCTATGCTAAGTGACTATTGGAGGTAATGCAGATGAAGCATAGTTCAAGGGACTACACAGTGTAATATTGATGATGTGAGCTTCAGAACTGGGGGGAAGGTCCATGAGTCATGTTCACTTCTAAATTTAAAATAATACGCATATAAATGGGATTTCTGGCTGAATCTTAAAAGAGAGCAATTTATTCTAAAAAAAATAACAGTTCTAAATAATTAAAAGTTTTAATTTAAGCCTAATGGGAAGCAGTAAGCATTTTTTAAAATATGTTTTATGTCCTTTCTAGATATTACAGGGAGTTTCTTCCCTAAATTAATTTTAAGAGTTATCTCTCTCCCCACCTCCCACGCTATAATAACTAAAACATAACTTGACCATACCTGATCAAGCTCAAAAGATAAAACTACAGAATTGAAATAACAATGTTACTGGTCTAAAAGTTGGAAACTATTTGGACCAGAAATTTGAAAATTAAGTATCAATGGCAAACATTCATAATATTCCTGCCAACTTTCATTCTAGGGGAAACCTCTTTTTAGACAAGAAAGAAAAATATGAACACCTATGCTGGGACTTCCTACTCTTCACAAAAACTAAGGTTTTATTAACACTTAGTAAATCGGTTGCAAATAAAGCAGATGGATGTTTGGAAAATAATTTTACAGAAAATGCGGGGGGGGGGCAGTTAAGATGGGGGGGGTCACTATGTAGCTCAGGCTGGCCTTGAACTTATGGTCCTCCTGCCTCAGCCTCCCAAGTGTAGGGATTGCAGGCATGCATCACCACTCCTGGATCAGACAATTTTTAAATCAAGTTATCCTTTGCTTAATACTTAACCAAAGGTGACAGCAATATATTTACACAACTACTGCCAAGAAACTTTGGAAGTTTTCATTATGAATTATTAACTATACTTTGGCTTTAACGGGTAAGTCTCCACCAAAATAGGATGAGGAAAATCTGTATTTCTAACTGCTTTTGAATTACAGACATAATAGCTCAAGAATTGCCACTTTTGTTCATAAAGAAGCAAGGCCGGATTTTGGCTTTGACTTTGAGGAGGAGAAAAACACTGTATCAAGAGTGAATTTAGGACAGGCACTGAGGCTCACGCCTGTAGCCTGTAACCTTAGCTATTTGGGAGGCAGCGATCAGGAGGATCAAGGTTTGAAGCCAGCCAGGGGAAAATGTTTTCAAGACCCTATCTCAAAAATGTCCAACAAAATAAAAGGGCTGGTGGAGTGGCTCACATGGTAGAGTGCCTGCCTAGCAAGCGTGAGGCCCTGAGTTCAAATCCCACTACTGCAAGAAAAAAAAGTGAATGTGGCTGCTCCCCACCTTATGGTAGTCATATACAAACAGAACCCCCAGAAAGGGGAGAACTAGGAGTATAGTAAAAAAGTAAATGTTGTGACAGGTTAGCAGCCTGATGCAATCTGGTAAAAGTCAAAAATTGTTAATATTGTGATATGTTTAGGATTTGTTTGGAGAGGAAGTACATGAAACAAGACTGACCTTGGCTATGAGTTAATAATTGTCAAGCTGAGTGACCGACACATGGCCTCCTCTATACTGTTCAACTTTTGTATATTTTCTGTAATTTAAAAAAAATGTTTAAAAAGTAACTTTAGGTTAGCTATACCAATATTAAAATACCACTTCCCTGGCACTACTATAATTTGTGATATGGCAGAAGACACGCTTTTCACTGCTTCCAGAGCAGTTTACGTGTGGTTTTAAAAGCCATTAAACTAAATATTTTAAACTAGAAACTATTTCCTGACTCTGTGTCAGAAAATTTTAGGAAAATGCCAAAAACAGAGGGGCCACTTTGCACTACTGACAGATGGGTGTGAAACAAAACATTCTCAGTTCACTAAGGAAATGGATTGCCTAAAACAACCCTACGGTACAGGCCAGTCACTCAGCAGAGCACACACCAACTTTTTACTCTTGTCAATATGAGCATCTGTGAGCTGCATGTCCTTAAAAGGGTCCACCTATGTAACCAAGCAGAGAATGCAGACACCCCAGGATACCTGAAAAAGTTGCTGTTCTAAAACTCCCACTACCAGATGACCAAAACTGCTCCCTCTACGCTCCAAATGTATTTTTAGTTTGTCCTTCAACAAGTAGCAACTGTAATTTACATTTGGTAAGCACAGATTCCTGAAAGACAAAAATCAACCAAAAACTTGGTTTGTATCTCCTTCCACCAAACCGCTCCGCCACTAAAGCTACAAGCAGAAGGGAGGAGCAGCCTTAAAGAAAGTCCCCACTGCTACACTGGCAGAGCAGACAGAAGCACACGTCTCTGCCGAGCAGGAGAAAACTTCCACACAAGCAATACTGCAACCCGGAGGTGGGGCAAGGGCTCGGAAGGCAATAAAAGCCAGGAGCAGTGAAAGGAAGGGAGGAGAAGTCAGAACCAGACCAGGAAAAGGACAGGCATTTTCCACCTCTGCACAGCCCCTCCGGGGCCTGCACACCACGAGCGCAGAAAAAGGTCTGCTCAACTCCGGGCGAGTTTCTGCCAGCAACTTTCCCAGAAATGAAAAGACAAGGAACTGGATGGTGGCAGAAAACATGGCCAGGTTGCTCAGTCTGCGGGAGCTGGCGAATACTCTGCAGCTGGCTACCCAGAGAAGATGGAATAACAGTATCTATGTTTTGCACACTGCCTACCACCGTGTCCCAATTAAGCGTGCGTCCCTTTCGGATGTCAACCCGGCACAACGCCCGGGCGCCGGCGGCGGGCACGCGGGGCACCCTGCTTCTCAGGAAACCCAAACGGGTAGGTAGGTCAACTTCGGTCCACTTTCCCAGTGAATTACACCTTCCAATCACGCTAATAAATTATGCAGACGGTTTAGTGGGACACGCTGTGGGTCTGGCACTCCGATAAGCGCTTTACACGCCCCACTTCACTGAACCTTAACAGTCTCACGAGGCAGGGACGATGTTTGCCCCTTTTTCCAACCGAGACACAAAGAGTTTAAGTGACTTGCCTAGGGGGCAGAACAGGGATGTGCTTCCCTGTTGGACACCTCGGCAGGGCTCGTAACCACTGTGCCACAGTCCCGGACCGGGAAGATCTAGGTGCTCCGGATCTCGGGGACATGAGAAGGGGACCACCCCCCCACCCCCGGGAATAACTTCGGCAAATCCCCATGCGATGCGGAAGGGGGGAAGGCGGCGTGGCACCTGTTTCTGGCACAGCCGGGGGTGTCGGGAGCGGGCGCCCCGGCGCTGGGGGAGCGGGAGGACCCGCCTCCTCCGGGAAGGCCCCGCGAGCGGGCGGAGGCAGGCCTGGGGGAAGGAGGCCGGGCGCGCGGCCCACCGAGGCCTAGCCCACCCGCTGCCCACCTCCCGCAGCAGTGGTGCCCGCGTGGGTCCCGCCAGGCCCGGCCCGGGCCGGCCGCCTCACCTGGCTACTGCCCCGAACTCGTCCCCCGGCCGGCGGTCCTGGGCGGCGGTGGCGAGGAGGGGAAGGAGGAAGGAAGAAGGGAGAGGAGGAAGGGACGGAGGGAGGGAAGAGGCGGAGTGGCCGCGGAGAAGGCGGACGCCGCCGGGCCGGGGGGTCAAAGGAAGGGGTAGCCGAGAGAGACTCCGCAGTCACCGGCGTAAACGCTGAAGAGCCGCTCCGGCGCCCGCAGCCCAGCAGGAAGTGACGGGGGAGGGGCTGGCGCCCGCCCCCGGCCCCCGCCCGCCTCCATGCCCGGCCCCACCCCCACTCACGGTCTGGACCACATGTCCCGGTAGGCGCTGCGTGGAGTCTGTGTTCGCAGGGCACGCCGGGAGTATGGGCAGTGGAACCTGACCAGTCTCGGCCCACGGGCCTGCTGGGAGTTGTAGTTCTACTGGGACCTGCTAGCTGCCGCGGGACCTAAAGCCGCTTCAGGTCCCACTTGCTGCTGCCTTCCTTCTTTCCGTCAGTTTTCTTCTCTGGTCTCTGTCACCTCTTTCTCTCCTTCCTTCAAACTCTCCTTACTTCAAGCTCTCCTTCCTCGTATCAAAGATTCTTAAACGCCTGCTATGTGCAAGGCTGCGCTCGGAGAGCTGAGCAGACAGGAGTCCCCGCCCTTGTGGCGCTTCCATTCTAGTTGGGGAAACGATGAATGAAACAGCACCTGTGGAGGTGAGACAACACTCAGAAGTGCCAGGTTGCCTGGCTCTCGCCTCCGTCTTCGGGCAGGCTCGAGGGGGGTCCCCGCGAGGTGACCCCGGGAATGGGAGAGCAGCGGGGCAGCTCCGCTCCGCCCGCGCTGGCTCCAAAATCCACAGAAGGCCCGCGGTGTATTGTGCGCGGGTTCATTGCATGCGGTTTTTCCAAAACACATTCTTAATTCCCGCCGGCATTCCACAGCTCAGTGGGTGCGGAGAAACCCTCAGTCAATCCTATGTTAGCGTCAGTTGGGTTTAAATCGCCGTGTAATCTACTGTCTCCCGACCCTTAAGTTTGTGAAATTCTGCCTCCTAAGAAGCAAACGGTGCCAAATAATGAAATAAATAAATAAATAAATAAAAAGCAAGGTAGAAGTTAGGGTAATCCTCACAAGCCAAAAAAGTGGCATGTCTTTAGCAGAAGCTGGGCCTCACTGAGGGAAAATTGAGTCACGCATCCGCAGTACTGCAGATAAAGAGCACGGAATGAGATCCAGTTTTCGGTAAGCCGTATTAATGTGTACACATTCATTTTGTGACAGTGATGTAGCCTATACCATGCGGTTTCACGTTATGGATACTCAGCCCTACTGAACGTATGACACAGGGAAATTTGAGTCACTTTAGTGATGAACTCTGTGTCCTGAGCATTTGCGGTTTTCCTCGTGGTTTTTCTCTTTGCAACCATACACCCGCATCTGCTGTAATAATTGATATATTCTCTCTCATTCTCTCTCTCTCATTCTAACAATTGCCAAGGAAGTATAGCAATTCATCCCATGAACTGCTTCTACTGTAAGGTCCCCTCTTGAACCTTGCCCAAGCTGTAGATGGGCTCCTTTCTCTGCACCAGGCCTCCTTACGTGGCTTCTTAAAAAATGCAGTAACACTGAATTTCGGGACACCAAAACCAGTCAAAAGGTCATTCACAATCCTGCCTGCCAAAACAGTGCTAAGCAACTAGATATACAGTCCAATCCTCTGCTGAAAGCGATTGTTTTTTTCTTTTCAACCTCAAAGCTGAGCAGATCAAGTGAGGGAAGGCACAGATTGGGAGGGCTTTGCCTACACCAAAGCTGGGTCATGGGCACAAGACACAGTCTCCTCAAAGTTGATTTTATATGTCAAGTGTCAGTCCCTCTAGGGGTTTTTTGTTTGTTTGTTTTGTGTTAAGGAAAACATTAAATAATAAGAAAGGTAATTTTTAGATTTTAAAAAAACCACTTCTGGGATTTTTCTGAACTTTCATGTTCCCATTCCTTTTACAAATACCTCTATTTTTATTGTAGGAAGGAACATTGAGAAATTAGTGTAACATACTTAATAATCCTACTTTCTTATTTCCATCTTCTACCAGAAAAAAAAATCGAATAATTCCTTAATTCGTTGGCAAGAGTGAAGAGGTGATTGAACTGTTGCATATGCTACTGAAGTAGATACTTGAAAGCCCTTACAATATGCAAGTGGTTACAAATAACAAGGTTTTACAAGGATCCCAGGATGGAGAGAAGATTATGACAGGGCTGGGCATGTAGCCCAGTAACAGAACTCGCTTAGCATGCAAGAGGACCTGTCTTTGGTAGCCAGCATTGCAACAACAATAACAAAAAAGACTATCACAAATAAGTCTCACTGAGGGAATGGGGACAAAAGGAACTCCCCTGATTACCTTTAGAAAATGGTGTTTTACCAACAACAGGTGTTGGCGAGGATTCGGGGAAAAAGGAACCCTCTTACACTGCTGGTGGGAATGTAAACTAGTACAACCACTCTGAAAAAAAATTTGGAGGCTACTTAAAAAGCTAAACATTGATCTACCATTTGATCCAGCAATACCAGTCCTTGGATATACCCAAAGACTGTGACACAGGTTACTCCAGAGGCACCTGCACACCCATGTTTATTGCAGCACTATTCACAATCATCAAGTTATGGAAACAGCCAAGATGCCCCACTACTGACGAATGGATCAAGCAAATATGGTATCTATACACAATGGAATTTTATGCAGCCATGAAGAAGAACAAAATGTTATTATTCGCTGGTAAATGGATGAAATTGGAGAATCATTCTAAGTGAGGTTACCCTGACCCAAAAGACCAAAAGTCATATGTTCTCCCTCATATGTGGACATTAGATCAAGGGCAAACACAACAAGGGGATTGAACTTTGATCACAAGATAAAAGCGAGAGCACACAAGGGAGACACCTAAAAAATTAGCTAGCATTTGTTGCCCTCAACGCAGAGAAGCTAAAGCAGACACCTTAAAAGCAACTGAGGCCAATAGGAGAAGGGGACCAGGAACTAGAGAAAAGGTTAGATCAAAAAGAATTAACCTAGAAGGTAACACACATGCACAGGAAATTAATTCGAGTCAACTCCCTGTATAGCTATCCTTATCTCAACTAGCCAAAACCCTTGTTCCTTCCTATTATTGCTCATACTCTCTCTTCAACAAAATTAGAGATAAGGGCAAAATAGTTTCTGCCCGGTATGGAGGGGGTGGGGGCAGGGGGGAGAAATGACCCAAGCACTGTATGCACATATGAATAATAAAGAAAGAAAGAAAACTTAAAAAAAAAAAAAAAAAAAAAGAAAGAATTTGGTCAGTAAAACAATGGTGTTTTGACTGGTTATGCTAAGGCTACAGGCAAAAAGGCATAAGCACTGTAGTCTAGTTGGTAAATTTGTTTCTCACTGTGTTCATCGAAAAGTATGATGAACTGAATTAAAATGAAAGCACAGCACAGCAAAATTGTTGAGGTGCAGCTAACGCAATACTTTGAGGACAAGGGCTGAGGATGTAGCTTGCTTAGCATGCACACGGCCCTAGGTTTGATCCTCAGCACCACAAAAAGAAGAGGGAGGAGGAGGGCTGCAAATAAGTAACCTAAGTTCTGCCTTAAGAGACTAAGACAAAAGCAAATTAAATTCAAACCAAGCACATGGAAAGAAATGATAAAGACCAGATATCAATGAAATTAAAAGCAGTAAAACAATAGAGAAAAATCCATGAAAGCAAAAACTGGTTCTTTGAGGATAGGGAAATCAAAAAGATTGGTTGCCAGAATGATTGAGTGGGAAAAGGCAGAAGTTTTGTGACAGGTGCAGATCACATTCGTTAATGAAGATTGTCTCTGGATTCCCGAGGTCTGGAATGATAAGAAAATAAAGTATTTGCAGTGGGCACCGGTGGCTTACGCCTGTAATTCTAACTACTCAGGAGGCAGCAATCAGGAGGATCGTGGTTTGAATCCAGACCCAGGGAAATAATTCAAGAGACCCTATCTCAAAAACACCAGTTACAAAAAAGGGGCTGGCAGAGTGGCTCAAGTGGTAAGAGCACCTGCCTAGCATGTGTGAGACCATGAGTTCAAACCCAAGTGCCACAAAAAAAAAAAAAAAGGAAGGAAGTATTTGTCTCTAGAGAATATTGAGTGCCTGGGAGATATGGCAAGAAAGAGACTTTCATTTAGATACTATATTAGTCCATTATCTGTTACTATAATGAAATACCCGAGGCACACTAACTTTAGAAAGAAAAGAGGTGTATTTAGTTCATAGTTTTAGAGGCTGGAAGTCCAAACAGCAGTCTGGCAAAGACTTCATGGTGTTACAAGACAAAGAGATCACATCTTGAAACTGCAAGCCAGAGAACTGGGTAGCCAGGCTTGCTTTTTTTTTTCGGTGAGACTGGGGTTTGAAATCAGAGCTTCCAGTTTGCAAAGTAGGTGCTCTACCACCTGAGCCACACCTCCAGTCCACTTCACTCTGGTTACTTTTTTTAAGGGGGGGGAACTGGGGTTTGAACTTAGAGCTTCATACTGGCAAAGCAGGCGCTCTACCACTTGAACCACACTCCAGTCCATTTTGATGTGGTTATTTTGGAGATGGGGGACTCAAGAACTATTTGCCCCAGTTGGCCTCAAACCTTGATCCTTCCATTCTCAGCCTCGCAGGTAGCTAGGATTATAGGTATGCCACACCAGCACCTGGTTCAGGCTTGCTCTTTTGATAACCACTCTGGAGAGAACTAACTGAGGGCCTCATAAGAACTACTTTAGGCCCTTACAAGGGCAGAACCCCCAAGACCCACATATCTCCCACTAGGCCTTACGTCTTAACAGTCCTCCCACTTCTTACTGCTATACTAGAGATAAGCTCTCCACACATGAACCCTTGGTGAATACACACAAACCATAGCTAAACCCCGGCAAATACAGTCTAATATTCTTGTAAATGTACAGGTAGCTACACCGAAATAAATGTTTTTTAAAGAAAACATGCTTTGATAGAGCACCTGCTTTGCA